TACTTTGTATAATTAGAATTTTTTTATAGAAAGTTAATTCAAGATAACTTTCTTGAACAATCTTTTATAGAAAGCAAAAACAGAAACTATACCAAACACACTCTTAACTACAATGTGCACGTTTTCTTTTTAAATTAAAATTTTACCTGCCATAAAATTTGTTTTTCAAGAAAGGCCACAAAAAGTAGTTTACTTATATAACTCTAGTAAAAATTATACTAGAACGAATTTAAAGATCACACTTCAAAAATCAGATATAAAGTATATTTAATTAAAAATCATGTGACAATTTAATATTTTAATATGAATAGTTATGCTATAAATTATTATATATAACTACATCTCCCAATCCAATTAAACTCTCAAACCTTAATTCATTTCTCTCTCTCTACCCACCGGCCGTGACCATTGCGAATCGCCGCCACACCCTATCTATTCTCCAACCAATAACATAGTAGAGATGCGCCACAATCTCTTCTATGGCCCTCGCGTTGCATTCTTCTATTCAACTTTGGAGCATCCATCGGGTCCATTCTTTTCATCATCATCAACAAACAGATGAGCCAAGGAGCTCTAATCTGACCTGACATCGCATGACTTGAGTCGGTGCTCGGTGAAGTTGCTATAGGAAGCTTGGCATTTGGAAGTGGAGACCAACTAGCAACAACGGAGCTCAGGCAAGAAGGAGACGACGATGTTGGCGGCGGACGAATCAAACTGGAGAATCGTTCAAGAAGATAAGAAGCGTAAATGTCGGTGATCGGTTCATCGGGTCTGAGCTCGAGTTGGTTACCGGATCGACTTTGTAATTCGGGTCCGTTTGAAAGTCATTTGGAGTTGTTAATTTTGGTTGGCGGTGGTGATGGCGGGACGAGAGGGGTGGGACAAGGCCGGATAAAGTGTGTGTGACCAACTATATGATTGATTTGGTTATTTGTGATCGACCATTTAATTGTGACTTAAAGACTCGATGATTTGTGACTGAAAAATAATATGTAACCAATTAATTTGAAAATCAATGACCGTTAAATAAGTCGAGCTATAAAATTTGTGATCTATAATATTTTTGATTTGTGATCGAAAAATAATTTATAATTAATTAATTTGATAATATGTGACCAATAAATAAATTGTGACATAAAAGTATATAATTGTTACCTTAATATATTTAATTATTTAGTTATCACTCGAGTTTTGAAAATTTAAACTTATTGTCTGAATTTTGATTCGGCCTATATTTTACATGATTTTTTTGGGAACAATACACAAAACTTACATATAAGAATTACTTTTCAAAACTAACAAATTTGTCTAATTATTTCAAAAATCAGGTGGTAAATAGATTTATTAA